AAGGAGTAGCACTTGCAAAGGCACAGATGTGAGTTAACAGCAGGGTGCGGCGTATGCTGGGAACTGCAGCAGTTCAGTACTCTCGGCTTCTACACAGGAGAGTGAGAACTAGGGAGTGGGAATGCTGAAGAATGGGACAAATGAAGCCAGGGGGAGACCCATGGAGAGGGCCTGGGACTTCATCATACAGGTGATGAAGAGCCCTGGCTGAGGGCCAGCATCAGAGTGGTGGTCAGTGGGGTATTACAAAGATTATGCTAGTGGCTGTGAGGGAAATTTGTCAGGAGTCAAGGAGTTCAGTGTGGGCCTTCTGAGCAAGAAGAAAGAGCCATCTGCAAGATCAGTATTAGGAAAAAGCGAAAGGAAGGCTAAATACAAGGAGGCAGCATGGACCACCTGGAGATGGTGGCAAGAGGGAGTTGGGGATGGTATATACGTTTTTACTATGAGAAAAACAGAAAAAAAGTTGAGGGTTAGAAGCCTAGTAAAAGAGGATGTCTAAATATGTGGAGTTTAACATGAAAATGAGATGTCTAGTTTGACACATCGGTCTAAAATCTCACAGGAACAGTATGTATTAAAGATGATGGCTTCCAAATCAAGAGCACCTAAGTCACGACAGGATGAGAAGATCCAAGTAGATCAGCAAGAAGAGCAGTAAGCAGAGGAAAGACCCTGGGAAGACACCAAGACAGGATGACAGAAGAGAGGAGGCTAGTAAGAAGAAAGCTGTCAAATGCCGAAGAGAAAGAACGATTGAGGAGTGCAAAGAACACACCTCATTAAGTCATAAGCGCACACATTGCAGTCTTCTTGCTTACAGATGACTGAATCCACTCAAGTGACTTTCAGCAGAAAAGTATTTATTAGAGGGGATGGGGCAAGGTCTACAGACTCCAGAAGACTGCACACAGAAGTTTGGATGTCTTCAGCCAGGTAGGGAAAAGTAGCTGAGGCAAACACCACCCTCAGCGTAGAACTGTTATTGGGGAATAGGCCCCCTACTACCACTTCATTCCTCTCAGCATTTGTGATGGGGTACTACAACTTTCACCTGCTTCCCCGGGTGAAGAAGTGTCTCAGCCACTCTGTCTACAAGAAGAGCCACTCTCATCAAGAGTGGTCTCATTCTAGGCTGCTCCTGCTGCTTGTTGTTAACTGAATGCTCACCTTCAGAGATGCCAATTTCCCATTAACAGATTGTGCAAAGATGATATTTGTGCGTAAAAGAATTGATGAAATGAAGATGGAGTCAAATAAAAGCAAGAATAATCTTTATTCCTTGGAAACACATTGGTAAAAATGTTATCAGAGAGATGAAAAGATTCAGAACACATTTGTATGGATGTAGCACATACTGAGGGTAAACACATCTGCTAAAATGAAACACACCTGTAAACAAATGTCTCGGGAAGAGTTGATGGGAGGCTGATTTCACCATGCAACACATGCAGCTGACTCCCTCCTCCTGAATACACTTTTGAGGTAATCAAAAGAGATCAGATTTGAGCATGGAAATGCTTCAAAGGATGTTAATACATTTTTGGGGGTATGTGTGCTGATCTGAAGGGTTTAACTCCGGGCCCAGTCATTGTCCCTGTGTTTTTTTGTGTTCAAAGCTAGCACTCTACCACTTGAGCCACAGCTGTACTTCTGGCTTTTTGGTGGTGAACTGAAGATAAAATCTTAGACTTTGCTGCCTGGCCTGGCTTCAAACTGTGTTTCTCAAATCTCAGCCTCCTGAATAACTAGGACTACAGGTAAGCCACCAATGCCTGGCTTCAATACATTTTTAAGGGCAAAAAAAGGGGCCAAATTGCAATATATATATATTGCACAATAATTAACCAATTGTACAAAAACGCTAGTCAAAATGTATCTCAGATCTATCTATTGAGAGGGAAAAAAAGCTTGCCTCATGACTTGAAATGGGGGAAATAAATATTTTTGTACACATTTCATTCTAAAAGACAACACATTGTTTTCTGGTTCTACAAAAAGTCGAGGTCATGGCCCATCCTACGATACATAGTGCTTTGGCACAACCCCTATACCTCACAGGCTTTCATTTGAGCCCCAAGTGCATCACTCCTTTGAAGGAGTGAAGTCACGAGTAAAAAACCAACCATTCACTCCAATAGCGTGTATTCATGATGATGTTTTCTGAAATCATGCAAGTGAGCAGCACCATCACTAAGACATGAAAAATTATTCATATACTTGAGCAGCAAATTCTATCAAAACAGATGCGATTTATGTGATTTATGATTAGTATCAAGGCTGAAATTCAAAGTGGCTGAATGGCTTTAAGACAGAAAATTCCGGGTCTCCCTGTTTTCATATAACATTGAATAAGTTAATATACTTTATTGAGTTTCTGCTGCAGAAGGGGATTATCGCAGTTTTCCTTATGTGAAGTTTAGTTGGAAAGTTAGTCCTCAGTTGAAATAAGTGATTAAATTTCAACAGATCACAAAATCTTAAGTCAGAAAGAACCTTGGGGATATCTTAGTCTAACCCATTATTTTCAGGTGGGGAAATGAGGCCAACAAAGGTCATAGCATGACCCACCCAAGGTCATACAGTGGTAGAGGATGGATGTGAGCAATCTCAACCCTACCACAACAGCGGATGCCAACCAATTTCCCCAAGCTTTTTTGGCTTTATTTGGTCTCATTATTTAATAACAAAATAATATCAGGTATGCAGTGAGATGAGAAGCACAGACTTTTACTCCAATTTTAAGATCAGAATATTAAAATGATTCCTGAGCCTTTAACTCCCTTCATTTTATTGAGAATGCAGTCAAGTAGAGCATGACTATCATGGTTATCTTCAAATATTTACACAGACACTGCAAACACCCCTCGGAACCACTCCTTTAGGATATCCCCAGGTGGCCAAGACACTTCTCAAGGAATGCAGTGAATCTATGGTGATGACTGGAAGGAAGACGCTTCTGTCTCTCAAAGTGCAGTCATGAGTTTGTCCCGATATGTCACACCATGCACCCCTCCCAAGTTCTTCTGGTTCTGGTCGTGGACATAGTCAAAATGGCTGTCATCTCCACTGGGCGATGATTTCCAGTGCAACCTGTCATCCTGAAAAGGTGGCCTGTTGTGTTTGCAGAGTGAATGATTAGTGGGAAAATGGAAGACAAGTGAGAATGAGAGCAAGACAACACACACACACACACACACACACAAAGGAAATGGGTCGGGAAACAATGAGCGGGGATGGCTTACACATGGACATGAATGGCTCACTACTTTCATAGCTTAACAATGTCAATGAGGATCATCTATCACATCCCAACTCAAGGAAAGGCTGAGTCATTCTGAAAGGGGATCGTGTGGTCAAGTCAGTCTGGGAAAACCGGGTGAAGGGGAGAAGTTCCTTTACCAAGCTGGTGTGCACAGCGAGCAGATCTTACATAGCATTTGTCAGAAGTATTACATCAATAAACTCTCTTCTCATGGGGTATCGCTGAAGAGCTTGCTAATTTGCACGATGCCTCAGGGATTCTGATGCAGCATAGGGTGGAGTTGAGAAGTGACCTTTCCAATGGGTCCCTGGGGACCCATTAATACTACTTGGTAGGGCACTGAGGGGACTGTTGAATGAATCCCTGTGAAAAGCGGGCCTAGGTCATGCTCAGAAGGAAATTACTCTGATAAAATAGGCAATACTAAAGTATGATGCTTGGCAAAAGAAGTGTTAATAAAATAACATTCCTATAAACCTCCTGTGTTTCTCATGTCTGGAAAAGAAACACCACTGAAATACAGAAAGATTTACAATGATCACTCCAATAGTCTGATTTGCTTTAAAGAGTGACACAAACATCCAAGTGTTTATAGTAACAAAATAACACTACAAAGTCCCAAATAAACTACCACTTAATTTGTTGTTGGTAGACTTACTTATTTCTACCACTTGGTTCTCTGTTCTTCCTCAGGGAACGAGGGTAGAAACCTCACCTTTATGCACACTGAGTTCATCAGCTATGTTTCTGAAATAGCTTTGCATATAAATACCAGTTAAGACTGATCTAAACATGCAAACTGTAAAGGTAGGATTGCTCACACAAAGCTAGCCTTTAAGGAACTTTCTAGCCAACTATAAACACAGCATAGCTGGTGCTAGCTCATCTGGGAGGGCCATGACAGCCAATGACAATCAATGAGAAGCCTGGCATCAAATCCCACCTTTATTTACTTGGTTTGAATTCAAACCCCTGTACCTCATGCTCTCATTCACCTTACTTGCTTAGCTCATACTCTACCACTTGAGACAAGTCTCTAAACTGGCTTTTTTTCTAATTATTTTGTAAATGGGAATCTCATGGACTTTTCTGCCTGGGTTGGCCTTGAACCACTGTCCTCTGAATCTCAGCTTCCTGAGTAGTTAAAGATTATAGTTCTGAGTTACTGGCACCTGGCTTCAGGTATTACCATTTTTCTAAGTTTCACTGGAACACGGTCATGTCCTTGTACAGATGTATTATCTGTAGCTGTTTTCAGACAACAATGCTAGTCACACCTCAGAGGGAAACTACTCTGAGTGGTTGTGAAAGGGACCACCAGTTTTCTGACCCCAGATTTAGGAAGAAAGACCTATTGCCAACCAAAGTAAATGCTGCCCCATCCCTGGAGGGGGGGGGGGGATCCTTTAAGAAACAAAACCCCATAACAATAAGCCTCAAGCTTTAATCATGTTCAAAGTAAATAAATTTTCAGAACAGAAAAATGTTACTCAGAAAATTCAAGTGACATCTCTGATATAAAGCCAACCCCCAAATATTTGAGGTTAGGATGATGTTAAGAAAACCAATTCACTTTTATTTCACCAAGACTGGATTGTGGCTTCCTTTGCTTTGCAAATGATTCATTTTGATCACAGCCATGCTACTCTTAGGCTTGTCTTTGAAACGGACTTCCAAGGCATACTCAAGTGGAATGGGAACTTCCTGAGAAAGGAGAAGTTTTCAAAGCACTTACCTGACATTTGGAGAGTGAGGGTGCCACCGGGGTTGGCTGGAGTGGACATTAGGATGGTACGGAGGCTAGAAATAAAACACCAAGCTTGGTTACTCAGTGGCCTTCGGATTTCAATGGTCTCATTTACTTTCTCTTCCAGTAGCACCTACCTCAGGGGCAAAGGGGCTATGAATAGAAAATTGGTAACTGAGCCCTAGCTGGGCTGGGCATGGACCTTTCCCAAGGTGATCATATTCCTTACTGACAATGACTGGTGGGGCTGGAAGCCAACCCTGTCTCTGAAAGCATTATTTCCATTGATGGCCCCCTGAGAAGCGTCTGAGAGGCTGACTCCGGAAGCAAGGGTCATCCAGTGTGCCTAGGAAAGGCAATACTCATCTCTCTCAAGAAACAGATGCCAGAGGACGAGTGGATTTTTGTCTTCAAGAACAATATTTTTTTGTCATTGCTGAGATGATGACAGCTATGCAGAATAGTTATGTTCACACATAGGATTAGACAGAGATGCTAAGTAAAGTAGCAGAGCTGTGGGTAAATCTTGTTTCTTTTGCTCTGGTATAAACAATGCAAATATTTTTCCAAAATGCAATATAAAACCAACAAAAAACCACCCAGAGTGCTTTTTATCCTGTGGTAGGAAGCTGGGGAAGGGAGGAAGAGAGGTAGGAAGGGAGGGAGGGAAGAAAGAAGGGAGGGAGAGAGGGAAGAAGGAAGGGACCTATTCACTGCAAGATAAGAAAACAGCTCCTGACCAGTGAGCAAGGGTGAAGCCCAGATGGACCTGGCTAGGTAGCAGGCTGCTTACCCACTTGTAGCCTGCAGAGGGCAGCAGTCCTAGACATTGGAAAAGTCAAGAGTCTTCTCAAGGCTGAACTTGCTATGAGGTAAATGAGGCCCTCTCGACATTAAAGCCACTACAGTCTCGGGACCATTAATCTCATAATTATTTTTTCCTTTCTTTCTCTTTCTCCTGCTGCTTTGGTTAATATGCAGTAGTTTTCTCTCTGTGTCAGAAAATTCTCAGCAGTTCTGTTCATCTAATTTTCATGGACCTGAGATGCCCTCATAGTCTATTCTGTATTCCAGTTGGTTTTCTTTCCTCCTTCAAAGAGGGCTGTCAGCAGGCTGAGGCTGCAGCCCCCAAGACATGCTGCAGGGAAAATAAATCTGGAGAAAAACATCTTAGCAGGAGAATCTGAGTGCTGACCATGACTTCAGAGTCTCCTTGAGAAAACCTCCTCATATCTTGCTCTCTCAAGGGACATAGAAACCCACCAAGTTCAGAGGATCTGTCTAAAGCCAAATGGCTCCAGATGATTTGGCTACACAGCCAAGCCCCAAATGAGATTCAACACCTTTAGACGTCAACAAGGATGACTAACCTGCAATGGGATTCTCCAGTCTTTTCTGTCTTTAAATACAATCAGCTCAGAGAGATCTGAGAACCTCAATCACAGTCTTGAGAAAAGGAAACTCCAGAACCTTCCTCAGTCTCTTCCAGCAATTTATTCACATTCTGAGCTGTCAAGGAGGATTTTTATTTCAACCCAGGTGGTTGTTTTAACTGGGGCAGTCATGTCTGTCTGGAGACAACTGAAAATGCTTGTGTGCCTTTTTGGTTGTCACAGTGACAGAGAAAAGGGAAGCTAAATGTCCTACAATTCTGGGGACAGTCCTACACAATGAAGGAGTGTCCCTCTTCAAATGCCAATAGTGTCCTCATCGAGAACACAGCCATCCATCCTTTGCGGTTGGCTGACCTTGCTCTGCTGGGAACAAGCTAAAATGCTGTAACACCATCCTCCTGAAAGCCCTCCACAGAATTCTGATGCCATCAGGCCACTTCTCAGGACGTCCTCTTCCCGGTCAATTTACCCCCCAAACTTTGCTAGAACAACACAGGACTGCTGGAACTGACCAGGTGCAAAGGGCCAGAGGCTGCCAACCATGTGGGGAAAACAATGGCTAAAAAAGTTTCTGAAGATCCGATTTCAACAAACACTGGATGTTCACTGCAAGTAGAAAAGGCTGGGGTAGACACACCCAGGGAGGAGGCGGAAGAAGACAGACACAGCTTTGCTTTATTTACTCTCAGTTTTTTTCCTTTCCTCCTAGTACTGATCACTTTTCAACAATTTCCCCTTTCCCTATTGCATTCCCGTTACACTCAAAAATTCCTTAACCTAAACAGTCTGTGAATAAGAAGCTGCAAGAAGCCAATGAAGGAAAGGAGAAAGGGATATGGATTTTTTTTTTTACTTGTTCCTATAACTTGGTAGTTATTTCCAGATTTTGCACACTTGGGAATATGACTTCATGTGTGTAAGCCAATCGCCACCAAATTCTTTGGAAACCTCAAAGGGATAATACACATTGAGACCCTGTGCCATCTAAAGAATTAGTATCTACATTAAGCAAAGACCAGGAAAGGGAACAATTAGAATAAGGCTTCAAAGTGACATCGCTTAAGAAAGAGCTTTGTTACTTGTGACATTCACGGACAGACAGCAGAGCAGACACCCGGGAGAGCAGCAGCCTTGAAACACCTATACCTGCCCAGGACAAGAGACTTGGCCTGTGACAGTCTGAATATCATCTGTTCTCCAAGGACTGGAGGACTGGTCCCAGAGAGAGGCTGTGTGAAGTGCGGCAGGATCTAGCAGAAAGTCTAGATTAGGTCTCTGAGGGCTCTGCCACTGCAAATGATGAAGCTATTTCTTGTAGGACCCTTGTGAGTAAAGAGTGACTTGTTAGAAAAGAGCAAGCCCAACCCTTCTCTTGCCCTGGCTCATCATGTGATCTTGTCCTCCACTCATGTTCCTACCATTGTGATGCCATCCACTGAATGACCCTCAGGAGAGCAGAGGCCATGCTCTTGAACCTCCGAAACCATGAGCTAAATGCACTGCTTTTCCTTTATAAAGTAATCAGCATCAGATATCTTGTTACAAGCAATAGAAAAAAAAAGACTAATACATGACCCCCAAGTTGGAAGTTTGAGCCACATAGCAGAAACAAAGTACCACCTTGGAAAGCAAGGTGCATATCATCCATGCAGAGCTCCTGCCTGCCTAGCTTGTTAGAACCATCCCCTAAAGCTCTACTGATGCCCAGTTCCTATCCTTCAAGTTTCTGTCGAAGCTTCTAGGATGAGACCCAAGTGCTAGCTGCTTTTTTTTTTTAATGCTACCTGGGTGTTTTTATTGCTCAGTAGAGTTGAGAGCCACTGAAGCTGAGGGCTTTCAGAGATAATCATGAGGAAGGGGAGCTTCTGAGTTGGTCTTTGGAGAGTATTTTAGTAGTCAGAGGATCTACACATATGAGCATGAACAAAGAAACAGTGAGAAGAAATTCGAAGGCAGGAATTATGCAATTGTTCTGTGAGCTGAACAATGGGTATAGGATGAAGACTGGTAGGAAATAAATGTGGAAAAATCAGAGGCAGGTCATAGAAGGCTCTGGATGGACGGAGGGGTAGGTGCTGGCTTGCGGAGGCTGGGCTACCCAAGGCTTTGGCACTAGTGAGTGTGTAGGTGGGTAGGCAGGTAGACTCTGGCTGGCTGGCCAGCCTGTGAAAGAGCAGCATACCATCCATGGAATCATACCTTCCCTAGACAAGGAGTCTAACAGTGCTCTACGCAGTGCAACCCAGCCATCACTGACCCATCAGTATTATGTAAGTTCACTGTGGAAAGTGGAGTAAGGTTATCTTTTTTTGGGAAACACTGGATTAAAAACAGTTTTCTTGCAAGGTTTCTCAGTACTTTTAGCTCCCAATGGGCACTGTAAAGTCTAAGGAAGGGAATGAAGGATATGGTTTCCAAAGAGCTAGAGGCACATCTCAAGGGACTTGTGTTCCCTAGGCCTGCAACACACTTTGACAAAAAGCTGTCTCACTTGAATACTGCTAAGGGGTTGTGTTTGACCACCTAGAAACTTAAGACACATGTCACTTGCCAGTTGACAAGGTTAGGAGAAACAGGAAGTTTGGATGACTAAGAGGAAGCAGAAATCAGAGGAAGCAAAAGTCCCAAAAAACATGCATTGATGTTTTTTGGAAATCTGATGTTAAGCATAATGACTGCTTATTGTGAAAATTTAGAAGCTTTAAAAAAATATTTAAAACTAGTATGACTAGTGATGCATGCCTGTAACCCTAGTTACTCAGGAGGCTGAGATCTGAGGATCACAATTCAAAGTCAGCTCCGGCAAGAAAAGACCATGAGACTTTCATTCCCAATTAACTAGCAAAAAAGCCAGAAGTGGGGCTGTGTCTCAAGTGGTAGAGTACCAGAGTACCAGCCTTGAGTAGAAAAAACTAAGGGACAGTGCCCAGGCCCTGAGTTCAAGCTCTAACATACGAACCAAACAAATATATAAACATATTTAATAATAATATATTTAAAATATATTTAATAAATATAAATAAATATATATGTTGGAAGAGTGATGTTGATCAAGATGCATTGTACTCATGCTGACCTTGTACAACTACTTAAAGATAATTTAAAAAGAAAATCAGTGTCTCACCTGATAATTGTGAACCTCAGGATTTGTTTTAGCGCTAAAAAGAAAACAGAAAAAGAACAGTTACAATTTTACAGGTTAAGTGGCATTGCTATGGATTTTTTGAAGCAATCATAAACAAATCCTATGTACCACTTATTCCATTAGGAATACACTATTTCTTTTTTGGCTACTGGATACCTATATGAACATATAGCTAGAGAAACTACAACAGCAACTTGCAGTTTTCACTTAAAAACCTACAAATTTACACTCACAGGTACTACTGAACAATGCAGAGGTGATGCCAGATTTTGGTGGCAGAAAGGTTCCTTTCCATTGAGCAAACACAGTTATTTCAACTCCCATTGTGGGCACTGCATGGCATTGTGGGTAGTTCCACAATGAGCACACTAGGGAGTTCCAGTGATGGACAGGCTACTATTCGACATCTACCCCTGAGTCTGCAGTGGGAGCCCCTGTGATCCTTTGTTCTTAATGCTGCTGTTCACCTGATCACCACTGTGCCTGGGCATTCCACCCAGACATCTGTCCTGGGAGCTTCACATCTGATACTATTTATTTCTCATCTCAAGACAGCAAGGTTTCCTATCACCTCACTTTAGAGTTCAAGGGCCAGTGCCTAATAAGGAACTAGAAAAGCTGCCTGCCAGTCAATGGCAGAAACAGGGCTAATTCAATACCTGCACAATCCCAAAGCCTATCTGTCATCTTTCCACTATAGTATGCTAGGGTCTCAGAGAGCCAAAAGGAATTTTCAGCGCTCCTAATGTATGATGCTGTTTTGATAGAAGCTTTAATAGAACTACTCTGGCCAAAAAAAAAATAAGTAAATTAGAGAGGTGGTTGGTATAAAATGCAATGTTTAAAATGCACACTCAGTATCTGCCAGAAAAACCCACAAACTGGCCAAATTATCAGTGCTGTTGCTAGGGTGGTTTGCTTAGAATCAAGGTTTATTGCTTCTGCAACAATGAGAGGGAGCCATCCTTGTATGAGTCTGACCTAGGGTCTAACTGGCTCTACCTTCCATTTTTCAGAGGCAGCTAGTAAGTGGAGCTAGGCTCAAGGCCAGGCTGCCTAGGCTGAATTTCAGCAGGTAGGTTAAGTGTTCTGTAAGGTGCTGTTTTTCTAGTGGCACCTCTGTGGCCCAGGGCACAATTTCATCCATGGCTCCCACAGCAATTCTCCTCACCCTGGGATCCCACAGGTTACAAAGAGCAATTCAACAGCTGCAAGCAGCAGTTATTAGCTCATTTGTTCCTAAAGGGTATATTTACTGGGGCTTTTTTTGTTTTAAAGTTTGTTTTCATTCCCAATATATAATCTCCACTAGATGCTAAAGGAAAAAGTCATTTTATCAGGAAAAAACAACCAAAACAATCATCTTAGAGAGCAAAGGTAAGAAATGTTGTAGCTTACAGTCCTGAGAATTAAAAGCAAGACACCTGACAGGTGAAGAAAGGCTGTAGGATCCTAGACACAGGGCATAGCCACAGTCCTACAACAACCAGGTGAGGGCTAGGAGGTTGGAGAGTCCGCATGCAGAGAGCTGAATCCAGAGGAGAGGCACAGTAGCACTGCTGGCACAGCTCAGAGCCAGAGGCAAAGGCTGAATTCGCAGCTGTATGGCTGGAGGGGCTGATTCTGCTCCCCACACCTGGGGTTTGTGAAGGTACTTCAGAGCTGCCTGGAGGAGGTGGAGGAACCAGAGGAGCCCATGACCCTTTTGCCTTCCTCCAGAGTAGCTTGGCTTTTGTCTGTTGAGCTTTGTCAGGCTGTGTGTGTGTGTGTGTGTGTGTGTGTGTGTGTGTGTGTCAGAGGTGTGCATATGTGTGAAACTCTGAGGTTTAAAAAATGTTGGGAAAACAGTCATCTATTCCAACCTCCTCATTTGCAAATGAGAAAGAAGGAGGCCAAGAAATGGGAAGGCCTAAGGCTTCAGGGTGGGTTAGCAAAAACTGATGCCAGCAGAGAGGGCTCTGAGGCCTCTGCCAGGGCTCTGGTCATTAGCCAGAGCAATGGCAGCCCGCCCTACCATGTGCCCTGTTGGCCAGCTGTCCTGGCTGAGTGAGTAGCACAGCCTAGCTGGGCCCATCTCAGTGGCTACCCTCCTTGGCAGCTTTGAGGGCTGGGCCTGGAGTTCAGACCAAGGGCCCAACAATTGGAGTCTAGTCCACTCACAGGACAGTTATCCACCCGGCCACGCAAACTCAACTAGGAAGCACAGCTGTTTCAGTGGGAGAGAGAGGGGAGACACCAGGCAGATGAGTGGCTCACAACTAGACTCACCTAGGGAGCTCTGAAGAAGGGTGCCTGGGCCCACACCTGAGTACAGGTGATTCTCTTTACCCAGGGCCTGGCTTGGCCAGCAGGGAGTTAGGGGGACCGGGGGCTGTTTCAGAGCTCACAGATGATATCAATGCGCAGGCAAAACCATGGGCCAAATGTGACTCCTTGTATTTGTGATGAAGATTTTATTAGAACACAGCTATGCGCCTTCATTTACATATTGTCCACAGCTGCTGAATGAATAGTCACAAAAGAGACGTCACAGCCCAGAGCCCAAAATATTTCTTCTCTGACCCTTTAGAGAACATTTGCTGAGTCCTGGGCAGGAGATTTTTCTGTCTGGAGGTAAGTTCTTTTCCTGCAGGAATTCTAGTGGCTCTATGGGTGAATGGGAAAACCAGCAAGTGCTCAGGAGCCCTTGCTCAAGGGCCTGCCTCTCTTCGCACCACTGCCTGCCATGCCAGTAGTACAGGGGGCTGCACACTGCCTAGCGTCTAACATCCTCCCTTGCCTTACAACAAAGCACTATACTACTCAACCAGAGCAACTGTGTCTCCCAGCAAAACAAGCTGCCTTGGAACATTCTGTTGTGTACTTATTGAAAGGTATTGAAAGGAGGATAGTGTAGTCAGGCAGCAGAAAAAGGAAAAACAAATTTCTCAGGTGAGTCACTCTGACTTAATTGTATTAAGGAAAAAAATCAACATAGCAAATAAACAATAATGAGAGGAGAGCTATACTCCAGTGTCTAGGGGGTGGGGGAAGTACTTACCAGAGCTGAGCAGCTATCACTGGGTTGCTTGCTGTAAAGGAAAAAACAGAAAGTCGCTACCTAGGAAATTTTATAATTTTCACCATGCAGATTGAGAAGGGACTTCTCTGATCACGGAATAATCTTCCCCCTCAGCCCAGGCAGATCTGCACTGTGGCCGCTGATTTCCTAAGGCTGTGAACCATGCCTTCTTCTGTTCATCCCTCACTCTGTTCACCCCTCCAATGCTCTGCCCAGGTAGGGCGGGCTGGAATGCAGACATGCTGGGATGTGACCACAAGAGAGAGACCCACTGTTCTCCAGGATCTCATGGTCTTGAGATGAAGATGAGAAGTAAGGAGAAGTAAAAATAGTTTAAGGTGATAAAGGATGAAATACCAGCAGTCTATGCTGAAGAACTTGAGCCAGACATTTTTAAGAGGGCAGAGGAAGAGATGGTGTTTCTTCATCTACCTCTATTTTTTTTTGCAGGGGTAGGGTAGGGAGTGTGTGTGGGGGGGGGATATTGATGGTGCCAGTACTGGGGTTTGAACTCAAGGCCACTCAGTCTTGTTTAGTTCTTCTGCTCAAGGCTGGCACTCCACCATTGGAGCCACAGCTCCACTTCCAGCCTTTTGCTGGTTAATTAGAGACAGGAGTCCCTCAGATTTGTCTGTCTCTAAACCTTGATCCTCAGCTCTCCATTTCCTGAGTAGCTAGGATTATAGGCATGAAACAACAGCACCAGGCTCATCTACCTCCATTTTCAAATTTAATTTTCTTCTCCTTTTTTTCAGTAGTGCTGGGGATAGAGTCCACAGCCTTGGATCTGCAATGCAAGTTGTCTATACAGTACATCTCCAGCCTTTATTTTGTTTAAAAAGGGTAAGGTAGGAAAAATCTTTAAAAGCTTCATTAAAAGATGGTAGACCTCTAGGTAGAAAAAAAAGTTTAATATACAATGAGGGAGGAGAAAAAGGGGCTAGAGAACAGGAAGGAGCAAGAGGGAGTTTCTATAACTCCTGGTTCTGACCAGAAGTCTAGAAACACTCAAGCCATCTGGTGGAGTCAGGCTATAGGTTGCCCATCCCCTGTGGGACAGCTCCTTCCTCCTGGTAGGGACAGGATGCCTTTTATGTTTGAAATATTCTTCCCTATACATAACTGTATCTCTGGATGTCTACAATCTACTGGACTACATACACAGAGGCACGATCTTGCTTATGGGAGGTTAATAGTCCTCAGACTAGAGAGGGCTCTTGTCCCTGCCAGTGCCCTCTACAATAGCTGTAATGGCTCATTGTCCATCACCCTTTTGTGGACTTGCTCCTATCCTCTAGCCTTTTTTGAAAGTGGGGCCATGTTTTCTGGGCTCTGGGTATTTTTTCTTCCACTAAAGCAGTTGAGAATGACTAAGACTTTCTGGATGCCACACTACTGTGCTGCTAGTTTATAAAGGAAGGGAATGAGGGGACAAAGGTTAAAGACTCTAGGAAGGCACAAATAGAGGAACTAGGTTCCACAGAGACCCATTAAGTCCTGAGCTATGCAAGAAAAAACATATAGAATGGTCACAAGGAAAGGACAGGAGGGCTGAGGAGGACTGTGTGCAGAGCAGTGGTATAAAAGGGCAACAATTTAGTGCTAACCTGGATGTGCTGAATGGAGGAGCCATTCAATGTGGAGAAAAAAGAGCAAAGGGATGGGATGTGAAGGCTGGGTTTACGCAGAAATGAGCTGAGTTTGATTTGCTCCTTCACTGAGCATGCCCTAGTTCCAGGCCTCACTTAGATATGAGTCACTGCAGTGAGGGACAGATACATTTCAGGAGAATCCAAGTAGTGGGAAGGGTAGCAGTCCTCCACAAGGCTACATTCAAGGATGGGTATGTCTGGGCTGACTGGGGAGACCTGAGCCAAATCTCTTCATGTTCATGCACATTAACTGGCTTGGAATTGTCTGCGCAGGCTCAGCCTCCTGAGTAGGATTATAGGCATGAGCCTGGCTCTGCATCTACTCTTTATGTGGTCAGAATTCTAGATAAGCATGAGAGAATGTCCCTACCAAAATGGTGGAAAGGGTTACAGAAGAAGGTGTTCATTTATAGTATTGCTGAGGTTCCCCAGGTCCACAAAAAGCAAAGAGGCATAGGAAAAGAGTGATGGATGAGGGGGAAAGCAGACAAAACATCCAAAAGAGGAAGATTAACAACTGGGGGATAGGAGAAGAGGCCTAAGCCCCATCACAAGATTGCCTCTGGATGACAAATTAGTGAACTGCAGCAAGCTCCTTCACACGCTGCTTGATCAACAGAAAGAGCACCACACAACCTTTGAACGTGGAATGTCTCCGGGATGGGTAACGTTTGCTAGGCTTCCTCTCAAAGGTGCTGGTCCTTCGCAGCCTGGCGCCATGTGTAGCTTGATATTCTGTCCGCCCGCTGGGAAGGAAATATTTGATTGCATGTTACCAATATCAGAATCTCAGCACATCATACCTATTGGGAAGTGAATTTTTATTTTCAAAGGCTGTGTACATTTCCACTTAGCTTGGACATTAAGTTTAAGGTTTCTGTTTGGAAATAAAATCTTTGCCAAACAGGGATAAGGATTTCCACTGAAGAGTAAAACCTGCAATTTAAGTACCAGCCACTCAGCCGCACAAATCCAAGCAGGTCCAAGAACTTGGAACACTTAACTAGAACATGGATTAGCACACAAATATCCTTTCATGGAGCACAGTGCGTAGAGACACTTAACCCATCTTTGAGGCTGTTACCAATGGCCCCTTAACTAAACCCTGGATTACTTTGCTATGCCAAGAGAAACATTATTTACTTCACCCAGGCTTGCTGGGACACTGGGACTCAGCCACTGTGACTGACATCCAGCTTTGACGACAGGTCGGACACTGCTCTTTTTTACTTATTTATTTTTGCAGTACTGGGGATTAAACCCAGGACCTTGCACATGGTAGGCAAATATTCTAACACTTTCCTCAGCCATTCTATTTGTATTTTTCTTTTGGTCTTGTTTGATTTTTGAGATACAGTTATGCTAACTTTACCCAGGTGAGCTTCAAACTTAGGGATTACAAGTACGAGCCACCACACCTGGGTAGGGATACTGTTCTTTGCTGATCTATTCATCACTGTGCCAATCCAGGCATGCTTACTTTATCAGAAGGAAAGGAGCCATTTTCTACCTTCCCCTGCGTCTAAGAGGCAATCTTATCTCTACACCCCCTTCCTTTTACACTTCTCCTTAAAGAGCAGCAGAGACTAGGCCAAAGCCGAAACCAAGGACATTTTGCCCCTGGAAAGCAAAGCCTGCTTTTGCAATCACCCTTACTGTCTTCTCCTCTTTTCTAGCTGGCAAGGACATCAGCCGACCATGAATAGCTTCTTAAACCTCTGTGGCACTAACATTTCCATCCCCAGCCCTGTGATTTTAATTCTTCCTTAGAAAAGACTTGGTACTTTTTCCCCGTCCTTGGTACATTTAAAAATATATTCAAACAAAATAATTCTTTAAGCAGAGTGCACAGCCATTTCCTTGCACAGTAGATGAAATCTGAAATGAGCCCGTCTCTTGGCATTTTAAAAAGAGTTCAGGGACATGCCATGTGTGGGTAGAGGTTATGAAACCAAGTGAAGTTCTGTATCTTGTAATCAAGATTCTCAGACCTGTACATGTGCATATAAAATGCATATTGCCACAGTTTACACATGCATGTGTACACTCACAGACATTGATGACCAAGGCACTGGATGAAGCCACACATCTGAGTTTTAACAAATACCCAAGGAATTTGCCTGTACCTAAAAGACCTGGATCTTAGATTCACAAACAAAACTGTATCAGAATAAGCTTATTATTTCTTTAGGGTTACTTTCAGGTTGAAATATTTACTGAGACTACCCTGGGACAGATAGACAGAACACATACACACCTGCTGTCATTCTTAATCATTACCAAATTTCTTGACATTGGGATAGAAAAGGAGATATAGGTAGTAGTTAGATACATAAGAACCAAAGCTGGGTATTGTGGCACATGCTTATCATACCAGCACTTGGGAAGTAGGAAAAAAGGAAGATGGAGAGTTTAAGGCCAATCTGGGCTACGTAGTGAGAGCCTGTCTCAATAATACAACAACAGAAAAAGAAATACAAGAGTCAGACAGTCTGGGGTTGAATCTCCACCTCTGTACTATTACTTACTGGTTGTATGTGCTACTCTAATGCTATCCCCTATGTCTTACCTGCTTAATAGGTAGCCACTAGCCTCCTGTGGCTGGCTACTGAATACTTGAAATGTGGCCAAAGAGAGACTACATCTTAAAACTCAATAAATATGCATGTATTAGATAGCATAACTCTAGACATGTCAGCTAGTAACAATTGTGCTGTTATAGGCTGAGCATCCTTAATTCAAAATTACAAAGTCTGTTTCCCAATCCAAGACTTTTGGAGCCCAATCATTAGAAATTTGCAGTATCAAATATCAAGTATTCCAAAATCCAAAGGACTCTGAAATCTGTTAACACTTCTTTGGGTCCCAAGCAGTTCAGATAAGAGATCCTTAATGTGTATTAGTTGCATTTTGTCAAAGAGGATATGAAGGCCATAAAAACTTGTGTGTCTCCTCTAAGTCAGACTCTAAAGAAAGAAGTTGAGGTGTATGTGTATGTGTGTGAGTGAGGAGGAGACTCAAATCTTGAGATTCAAACCCATCCCTCCATTCAAAAAACAAGTAGCCACCCACCTAAACCGGAAGCGGGAGCCCAGCCGGATGAAGTCAGATCTGTTGGACTTGCCATTCCCAGGTGTGCGCAGGCGGAAGAAAGCATGGTGCTCTACCGCACACTTCCACAGGTGCTTGCAGGTACGGGCGCTGTCCAACCGGAACACAAAGGTGTGCTCCTGCTCACGACCCTGGAAGGAAGCAAAGTGGAAATATGTCACATGGATGTAGGGTTCTTCACAGAAAAGAAGAGAAATGGTAGCAAGACCTACCTGATCATCGTCCTCCACCACCACGAGTGTTAGTTTGCTCTTTTTAAAATCCATTTTGGTAATCTTAGGCCTGGTCAGAGAGAAAGCACTTTAAAAAGCATAATCTGCAGTAAAACCACACATCAAACAGCAGTTTCCTTTCTACATTTTTTTTTAAAGCTTAGATTGGCTAAGAAAAAAAAAGAATCACTCATTCATTTAAATGTGATTATCCAGAAGTGTAAGGGCAATTGCCAAACACCCACAAACAAAAGGATGGTGAGATTTTTAAGATGAATCTGGGTGTCGCCAATACCCCTCAGTAATCATCCATCACATAGATTTCCACCACAAAATAGGAAAAGACATTTTTAATATTAGACAAAACTAAATTACCAAAAGAATAAGCCTATTTTGTTAGCTCCTTCAAAGATTAATATGCCTGTCGGGGTCAGTCCAAGAGAATATTCACAGCCATCTCTTCCCTACAAACAAACGAAGTGACAATCGGTAGAGGGTTCCAACAGGTCGTCACAGAGCAGAATGCAAAAACAATTTCCTCACCACAAGTTACTTTGTTGGCCCACTACATACTGTTCAGTAACAGCAAAAGGAAATCACTCAAATGTACACAGTTCTTACCCTGACAACGTGCATGTCTACCCCATACATTTCCAGCCACTTCGCTTTATTCAGATAGGAGAGTTCCGCCTGGGCAGGGCTCTTTCCCCTTAGAAAGACCAATGGAAACACAGGTAAACTGGGATGAATACAACCACAGGAGTTTGAGGGGCAGATCATACACACTAGGGAAGGTCATGCAGCAATTTCAACAAAGAGAAGTACCAGGAAAAGATTTCCAGGAACACACTGGTAATTGAATGGGACAATCCCATAACAGTGTCTATAGTAGAATCATTTAAGAAAATAAACTGGTGCTTTTATGTATAGACAAGTATACAAAAATATGAAGGAATCTTGCCCATGTAATTGTAACCCCTCTGTACAGTATTTTCACAATTGAAAAAAAAATACGAAGGAAAAGGCTGGAAAGACCCAACAGACTTTGCCCTGTGGGAAGGAAGGAAGCTGTGTGTTTGTGAAGTTGTTGGAACAACTCTGTCTCCACACACTTGTTTCTTGTTTCAATATTAGACAGTAAGAACTCATGTTCTGTCTCCATTTTAAACTGAACTCCATTAAAAAAAAAAAAAAGTCATTGGTCCTTCAAAAAGACTGAGGGAGAGTCAAAGGCCACACCAATTTCTGGGTCTGGGTGAGGAGTAGATGGTATTTAGGGAAAGGAAAGAGAAAAGGTGACCCCCTAGGAAACTAAGAGAGAGGCAGTGTCGACCCTGGGGCAAAAGTGTTGCATCGGGATGGTGGCCACAGGAGGTACCCGTAGAGATAAATAACATGGCTGGGTTTTTGTTTGTTTGTTTTTTGGTGTGATGCCCACATTTCCTGGAATATAATGCCATATAGTATATGGCCTCAACTGTGTTTCTACACAGTGGGGGTCCCCCTTTTCCAAAATGTTTGGGACCAGCAGTTTATGATTTCAGCCTTTTTCAGATTTTAGATAAGAGAGACGACTTGTGGGTAAGAGTAGAATCTAACCCTGAAAGCTACTGATGCTTCATATATTCCTTATACACAAAGCTTGAAAGCAATTTAATGTATTATTCCCTGCTGTCCCTGAATTTTGACGGTGACCTGTCCTGTGAAGTTAGGTGTGGGTAAACAGAAGAGAGGCAAACAAGACAAGTTACTACTGGAGAAACTATTTTAGTCATCAGCTGATAATTCGATGGTAGACAGGAGCTCAACAAACACATAGGACAAAATAAATACGTCAGAAGGTGAGACAGTTGCATCAAGGTACCTGCACTCTTTCCATCTTTGGAAGATATCAAATTCCATCGCTTCTGTCTGATTTGGAATGAACCGAAACTCAGACACAAGCTCTGGTGTGTGTTCTGGAAGCTCGCACTCCCCAAGCTCTGCTGCAGTTCATAAAAGGGAGAAAAACAGGAGACACAGAACACTTATGGTTATTGCTGCCACTGAGTCCAAAGGCATTTTGCATAATTATAAAACACAGGTACCCCTTGAGTGCTCTACCACTCTCCTTTCAGGAAGACTGTACTCTCACCGGTAGCCATCTATTTGCTCAGAATCCCCAACCACCATTCTAATGTCCTTCCTGTCAGGTGGCACACCATCATGTTCTTCCTCCCTGCTGTTTCTCCTCCCAGCCAGGGAGGCCCTGATTACATTCCCCTGAGAAGTGGGGATTTGCAATAAAAGGCAATTGCAGGGAATGAGGATCTGCCCAGAAACACCCACTGTACGGGCCTCATTAAGTCTGGATCAGCAATGCTTCAGGGTCTGCAGTACTGGGGAGGCTGGACCAAGAATTTGGTACATGCAAGATGGGAGGAGGGAGGGAGGGAGAGGAGAGGAGAGAGGCGGGGTGAGCAGGCTGCAGGAGAGACTGCGGAATGTCAGGAAGAGCCTGGGAGGGACACAGCTGTGCAGAAGGAAAGCAGTGATAAGGACAAAGCCTGAAATGTGCTGCCTAGTCTTGCTAAGTTACCCGACAGAATGGATTACCTGAGGACACAGGTGGCCCCAGCCCTGCAGGGTATGAGTGAAAAATATCTGTTCTCCACACTCCACTTCTGAAGACCCCAGAATGAAAACAAATTCTCCAATTTCCTCTAACAACTGGTTTACAAGGTGTAGTCCTTGTAAAGATCTGCAGCATGGACACCCCCTCCTTCCCACCACGACCTGGACTCTATACACAGAGTTTCTGATTCAGATATGGAATAAGGCCAGACTATGCATTTCTAACAAAATCTTCCAGCAATGCTGATGTGGACAACCTGGGAAGCATCTTTTGGAGAATCTTTGCTTCACACATCGAGTCCACACCAGACCACGCCTGCCTGCCTGCCTGCCTGCCTACCTACTGGCAGAGAGTGGCAGCTGACTATATTGCTCCATTAAGGTAAACCCAGCCAGCACAGGTCTTCTGAGAGTCCCAATCTCACAGCCCATTGTTCAGGAAAAAAAAGGGCTCCAGTTAGCTTGCCAAAGTAGATAAAATGTCTTTGTAATAGGCATGAAAATACATGCATGTAACACCAGCACTCTGGAGGCCTAGGCTACATAGTGAGACATTGTCTCAAAGGGGGAAAAAGTCCTTGTCTATGCATTTGATTGAAACAGTAAAATCTAACCCAGGGAGACAGTGAGCTGCTTGTGTAATGATGGGACACTGTGAGTACCTCCCCACTTGGCTGTGGACCCTCAGCTGCACACTTAGAGTCTATGTCAAGGCTTACATTGGCCTAGTAAAGGCAAAAATGAAGACACTCTGGAAAAAAGTGTATGTCCAGAAAAACTAGGTCTGGTTTCTCCAGACAAGAGGCTACCAAGTGGGTCACTTTGGAACTAGAAAAGGCTAGAGAGTTCATAATATGAACCCCTATACCCACTAAGTGAGACTAAGGGAGGTCTCAGGTTCTTGTGTTTAGTGGTATATCTGGATGAGCAGGATTAACCAGACTACTGCCATCATCAAGCAAAGCAAGAAGGACAGGTGTGTTCACATTGGGTAAAGGGCCAGAATCAATTTCACCTGTACTGTACTGAAACAAGCCCCAGTGATCCAGAGACACTACTCTGCCTTCCAAGAATCTGTGGGAAGGACCCGACACTTGACTAGCCCACCCCCTCTGAAGCAAACCTCCAGCTCCTGGGAGGCTGTGGAGGGATGTTGTGAACAGCTCAGATACAGGCCAGCTTGAATCCCACCTATACTATATGCTATCTGTGTGACTGTAGGCAAGTACCTTAACCACTCTGGATCTTTCTGCTCCCTATCTTGGTATGAGGATGAAATGAGACCACATGACATTTGACAACTCACTCTCATTCTTCCTCCTCCCTTTTTCCTTTCCCCCTTTTGCTTGAATGAATTTTCAAAGTACCACAAAAGTATTTCCCAAAGAGCACAGCCTCCATGCTGGGCCACTGTATCATAACTCAGGAAGCACCATTAACTCAAGGATATCCACAGCAAGACATATCTTCAAAGCTCATGCATGGGGAAAAAGCACAACTCTTTATTTTATTCACACCACAGAGCTGCTCCAGTGATTTTCAGTGCCCAGAGCAAGCAGGTCAGCTGGGCTGAGGCAGAGAGCAGGCTGGAGCACTGACCCAGGAGATGGGTGGGAGGAAACATGGAGGGACAATGTGACAAGGTTTCTTCCTATCTATGCTTAAGTCTTCAAAGTCTTTTTATTTGTACCTGACATATTGATTACATATTAAATTACACTAATGATAGAGTTCTAACTCAAATGACTAATTTATCCAAGAAAGGCCAACAGAAAGCTGACCTTGTTCTCAGCTGCTCTAATCTTGGCAAGACACACAGTTCAACTAGAGCTGGATGTTATGAGTGTGGTATGGCCCTCCATCACACAGGGAGCAGGAGTGTAGTGATGTGTGCGTGTCATCCTCTAATCATTCAGCATAACAAGCTTGCAATATTGTTCCAATGGCCTTAGGAGAAAACCTTTCCAGTGACTAATGGCCCCAGGCCTGACATGGGTGCTTTTATTATATTGAAAACCCTGACATCTCCTGAGGGCTGCTAAGCGTAATAGTGGCAAGGACTCCAGCATCTCTGGAGCTCCAGGGTAGATGAAGGCCTGCAGCTACACTGAGAAAATCTGTACCTGGTCACAGGAAAGGTTGCTGCCTTGTCCTCAGTTCTGCAGGTGCAGGTGTACCACAAGGTCTGCCACAGATGAGTATGGCCTGCCATATATGGGTAGGAAGCACTAAGCACTGTATTTGGCCAAGGTCCCTTAGTGTATCTCCAGCCACATTCCTCCATTGCATTTATTGATCATCTACAATACAGCAAGCCCAAGTGGTAGATAACAGGGCATAAAGGATACTCAATGAGGAATAAAGTATCCAGAAATAGGAGCATCATGTAATTGTTTAAGGCCATCTTTGATGCCGGGCACTGGTGGCTCATACCTGTAATCCTAGCTACTCAGGAGGCTGGGATCTGAGGATTACAGTTCAAAGTCAGCTTAGGCAGAAAAAGTCATGGCTCTTATATCCAGTTAACCACCAAAAGACCAAAAGTGGAGCTTTGGCTCAAGTGGTAGAGCACTAGCCTTGAGCAAAAAAACTCAGGAACAGCATCAGGCCTCAAGCTCAAGCCCCTGTACCAGCATCCACCCCGCCCCCCCCCAAAAAAAAGCCATTTAAGGCTGGGTGCTGGTGGCTCATGCCAGTAATTCTAGCTACTCAGGAGGCTGAGATCTGAGGATTGTGGTTAGAAGCCAGCCTGGGCAGGAAAAGCCCATAAAACTTTTATCTCTGATTAACCACAAAAAAGTCAGAAGTAGAGCTGTGACTCAAGTGATAGAGAGACTTGAGCAAACAAGCTAAGGGATGGTGCCTTAAACCCCGAGTTCAGGCCTGAATGTAGGCACACACATACAAAGCCATCTTTATGAGTGTACATTTACTAAAAGCACCAAGGTAAAAAAAAGTATACAAAAAATTGTATGTAGCCTGGCACTGGTGGTTCACACTTGTAATCCTAGCTATTCAGGAGGCTGAGATATGAGGATCACGGTTCAAAGCCAGCCCGGGCAAGAAAGTCCATGAAACTGTTATATCTAATAAACGAGAAAACCAGAAATGGCGCTGTAGCTCAAGTAGTAGAGTGCTAGCCTTGAGCTGAAGAGCTGAGGGACAGCGCTCAGGCCCAGAGTTCAAGCTCCATGACCGACAAAAAAAAAAAATTGTATGTAACTCTGATCAGATCTACAGTTCTCAAAAAATCCATTGAAAACTCATAAATAGAAACTGCTTGCAGGACAGTGATCACTCCTTTCCTTTGATTTGCCCCGTTTTAATGTCATGATCCTCCTATGTTAGTGTGTACCAATTTTGTCACTAAAAAAACAAAACAAAAAACACCCCAGCTCATCATTTTAAAAGTTGGTGAAATACAAAAGTGAGAAGCTAAATCTTATGATATTTACAGTGCAAATTGTAAATGATTACATCCTAATTCATAAACCAATAGAAGCTAAGTGAATCTACAACATATGTCTATCTGCATGCTAATGAAATCTCTTGTATATGCAGCTACACATTAGAATTCTCTTAATTAATGCAGAAGACTCCAGCCAATGCTCCTAGTGCATTTTAAGTGATGATCCACTGGAGTCTCCTATGGATGAACAGGCACCATGGACGATCCTGCAGGCAAACCTCTTGCTACTCAGTTCCCACCCATAGCCTGGTGACCCCAACAGCACTGCTTGTAGCCTGACTTTGGGATGAACCATTCTCATACACACCAGAGAAGTGGCTGCCATTTTGACACCTCTCAGCTCAGAGGACCACACAGTGATTCTGCACCAGAGCCCAACTCTCTTAATCTCTCTCCCTTGTCATCATCCACCCTCACAAGCAGCCTGAGTCATCTCTGACTTGTCTCTCACACCCAAACCTCAACACTCAAGTTCTGCTCCCTGCACTGATTTGGCATGTGCATGATCATTTGCCCTGCTGTTTCCTATTACCTCTATTACAGCAGCACCCTTCACCAATTCCTACACTTGCTACACGTGTGCCAGCCTCTTTTCCCTTTACTGTCAGCTTGGCTTTTCCAAATATGCATTCTGCCTCCTCAAGAGCCAACAAAGGCACTGTTGAGGACTACAAGAAGTTCATACCTTCCAATAGGGCCTGAAACCATTCACCTATCTAGTTTCCCAAACTTTACTCTGTGACATTTGCCACTCAACTGTTGCTACTTCTCTGAACTATGTGTGGATTTGCTGTTGTTTTGAGATATTGGGTATTGAACCCAGAACCTTATGCAGACTAGGAAAATTCTCTCTACCATTGAGCTACCCTCCATCCCTGCTCTGCATATTTGTTTTGTGCCTCGGTTCCTTGATTTAGTTTCTTCTCTGCAGCCTGTCTTCCTCCCTCCAACCCAGACCTGCCTCTTCCAAGGCACCTTTGTCTTCACTGCTGGAGGAACTGCATCTGAATCTGCTTTCCTTCACTCGATCACAAGCTGCTGGGCATAGAAACCATTATTCTATTTATTTCTATCCTGTGCCAAAAAAGAGCATGGAGCTTGAACCTCAGCACATACACACTTGTTGAAATTAAAATAATGTCTTTAAAACACAAATTACTGCTGAGCATGAGAATGTACCTTGCAGACAGAGAGCAGCTAGTTCCACAGCTGTTTCATAGGGGCACTTCAATCTTGAAAAAGAAAAGAAGAAAAGAAAGTACTTCTCAATCTGAGGCCACATACTCATGAGATTTCAAAGTGTCCATAAAAATCATTCTTCAAAAGATAGGGATAGCTAAACAATGACTTGGTTTTTAGTGGCTCAAATTTTTGATCTACACATTTAATGGTCTACATTAAAGGATGCATGCAAACTGACTTACACTATAAATTTCCAAAGTCAGTTTTCATTATATAGCAAAATGATTCAATATAAATACACTTTCTGTCAACCATGTGGCTGTTTTTTTAACTGAATTTGGCAAGAAGAGAAATTTCCAAAACAGAATGAAAAGGCATCCCTTTGCCTTGTTTTAAAACTTGTAAAAAATTTATTTTATCTTGAGACAGTACATGCATCTTTTCAAGCTGCCTAAAATCTTTCTTGAAACAAGGTCATCGTGTTAAAAATAAACACATAGACACAAGGTCTAACACCACCAGGACAGCTGGATGCACTCAGCATTGTAGTAAGTGTAACTGAGGCATAGCACAGGGGAGTACTACTGCAAATCTAGTGATCTCATTCATACTTAAAGTTCCAAAGGCAGAAAAATAATAATGACATGCACTGGTATAGCACTTCAGAGTTCCAAAGCCTTTAGGGTGTATTATCCAATTTGGTCAGTGCCTGGAGTCTGTAGACCCCTCAGGAGGGTGTGGCCAATGTCCCCCAATCTCCCACTTCACAAATGAGGTAGAGAGTATTCAGGGGTCTTGCCCAAGGTCATCTAGCTGATAACAGGCAGTGCTGGGCCTACTATGCCATTCTGCTTTGAAGTATAGCAAATCATGAGGAAGTGGACATAAACTGCAAAGTGCTGTACAAATGCAAAATATTGCCATTAGTATTTTTTCCAATCTGAAGACAATTTCTACAGTTACAAGGCCTTTCATATGAGGAGCACATTATGGAAAGATAAAAATACACACACTCATAATACACACACCAACCAAAGGTCTGTATTGCATGGCTGAATAGGGCAAATGTATACACTGTACAATCCACTCATTCTAGAGAGCATTATTCTACTGAAATTATTGTTGCACATAATTCTATTGAGAGTTTGCAAATTCGGAAATTACATTTTAAGTTTTCTTCAGATTACATTCAAAATCAGAATGCATTCTTGACAATAGCATCAGGTATTACTTCTTAGACTTGATATAGCCTTTCTTCTTCACATAACAAAATACTTAATACCTATGCTGGAAAATGATGCAATCGTAAAAGCTACTAAGACTGCTGAAATCTCTATCTTTAAAATAAATTAATGTTGCATGCAAAGAAATCAACCACTTTGGTGATACTGCTTCTCGTGCTCAATAATCACTGTTTGTAGACAGAAGTCTAAGAAATCATTTTTCAGAAGGGAAAGGAAATGAGATGATAGCTAAACCTCTTTCTAGCAGAGTCAGAACATAGCCCCTTTACATTCCTCCAATATAGATGGTGATGAATGAGACTTTTGGACTGTCCAAATACTTGTACGTGTATACATACTAATAATGCATCTTGCTTGCAAATACAACAAAAGCCATTATGAATGGGGCAGTGATGTGATCAGGAAGAGAATTATTCCCCAATACACATCACTTAAGATATTAAATGCTCTTGGAAATGCTTCAAGCCATATAATAATCATTTAAAATAGAATGATAATGACAGTGATACAAGTATAAAGACTCACTTTACAATGCCTGGTGCACTTTTTTTTTGAATTTTGAAAAGGGAACAAGGGTAAAAGAGTTAAAACAGTGAATTGTTTTGATGTAAACTATGATCTATGTTGGGTTAAGAGTTAGAACAAAAACGTACTTACTTTCCAGAAAGAATGTCATGCCTGAGTTGTAAAACAAACAGGTACCTGACAAACATATACAAAAGTCAACAGAGGTTAAACCCCTTTCCCAACCACCTCCAATCCCAAACTTCCCAAAAAAGGACCACTCTGCACACAGTCTAGAATTCTGCATTGTCAAAAGGGAGTCCAAAGCAAATGAGAACATGAGTGAAGTACCTCCTTTTGGGCCTTGCTAGGCAGGTAAGTATACCTAGGGAGTTCCCGAGATACTTGTAGGATGGAATAAGGAACACCTAGTAGTCCAATGACAGCCTCTATGACCCCTCTGGTGTTTGAGAAGCAAGCCAGACAGATCAGATACATAGATCTTAGCACAGAAGCATGCAATGTATCCAAGAAAATGCGCAAGGTAGAACCACTAGATTTGCCCTCAGCCAATTCTCCCTGGCAGATTTCAGAATCCTATCAAAAAGTTTATAGCTGACTGGAGTCTGCCAGCAACAGCTTGAAGCTTTTCTTTCTGGTACAGTCTAACTGTAGACTCTTGTCCTTTTTCCTTTTCTTTATTTTCCTTTTTGTAAAAGAAGTATCCAATAATATAAATGTACCTGTGTACACACAACACACACACACGCACACACACACACACACAAGAAAATCCTGAAAAGGGATTGTTATAGGCTATAGGAGTTATTAAAAAAACAAACAGAAAAAGGCAGCAAATTGCACAAGCAGGGTTTACTTATAAATAAACAAACAAATGCCTTCACTTCAAGTTTTATTAGCAGGAGGATGTGGGCACCACTTACAGTGCTTTGTACGAACCAAACTGCCCACACTCTACTCCATGCCTAGAACTAATCCCACATGCAAGAGTAGCCCCCAGGAATTTGACTTGTTCAAAAGCTTCCCAGGTGTTTCTGATTCACATAATCCATCTTAAAAACCATTGGCTTTGGTGACAGCTAGGAGCAGCATGTTCCTGAAGAGGAACACTGGAATAATTGAACTCCACTTCTGAAACGTAGGACACTGACCTGTGTGTACAAATCAAATGTCACACAACGCTGATGTGGACAGAAGAAATGCTATTTAAAGTTCTCTTTTTCTTGTACACTATTTCTGAAATCCAAGAGACAAAAAATACAGAACAGCATAAAATTATTCAGTGGGGGGGGGGGGGGGTTCAGCACTTGCAGCTCACATCTGTAATCCTACTAAGGAAGCTGAGATCTGAGGATCACAGTTTGAAGCCAGCCTGGGCAGAAAAGTCTGTGATTCTTATCTCCAATTAAGCAACAAACAAATACAGAAGTGGAGCTGTGACTGATGTAATAGAGTGCTAGTCCCCAAGTTCAAGCCCCAGTATTGGTGCAAAAAGAAAAAAAAAAGAACTGCAGTGGGGCTGGAAAGCAAAATAACAGTATTTTAATAACTTTGTTGTAACTAGTGTGGTTTGTCTATAAAGGGGATACCTTCTACTGCAACAATTAGGGGGATGTTCTACCACCTCTTATAAAAATAAGATAGCAATTCTGCACCAAGATCTCTGTTTTTCATTATTACAACTGAGACAAAAATAGAACACAGAACACAGAACAACCAACCAATTTACCCAACTTCCAAGAAAACAGAAACCGAAAAAGAAAATAAATCTAAATTCTATTTCCTAAGAAAAACCAAGCAAAGGTTTGGATTTACAAGAGAATAAGAAACACAGAAAGAATGATAGTTACCCTTCCTCTGAAACATAGACCATGTAAGAAAGCGTAGCAAAAATCCATGATGTAGAAAACGCATATATCTTATGTAAGCCAAGTGCTTTGAGGCAGTGTGTGTGTGTGTGTGTGTGTGTGTGTGTGTGTGTGTGTTGTGTGTGTGTGTGTGTGTGTGTGTATGTGTGTGTTGTGTGTGTGTGTGTGTGTGTGTGTGTATGATGTCCTACCTTGTAAACTCTTCTCGAAGGTTGTTCGGTTCTGAAGAATAATATTTAACTCGAAAGTGCAAAGCATATGCAGGTCCAACTAAACATAAAGAGAAGGTAAGTTGAAGAATTTTTCCCCCAGTTTGAAGATCACAGAATGGACAAAAGGAAAAACACATTAAATCTATAGCATAGCCACTGATCCATTTGCAAGACATAACTTGCAAAGTTAGTACATTCTCTTCATGCTAGCTTAGAAACGAAAATGGGCTTTTTGTTGTTGTTGTTGTTGACTAAGATGGCTTACCTGGGAACTTAATTCTGACAGATGATTAACTAAGAGCTGGCATTTACCATATACTTTCCCCTCTGATCCCAAGATACTCTAAATTGATACCTACATTTTACGAAGTATGAGATGGGCTAAAGGAAAGTGTACATAAATAGCAAAGTGATTTGCTGCCTAAAGCTACAATACCTTAATATACTTGTGTGTGTGTGTGTGTGTGTGTGTGTGTGTGTGATGTATGTCAGAGAGAGAGAGAGAGAGAGAGAGAGAGAGCAGGAGGAAGAAAGAGAAAGAGAGAGACAGAGAGAGACAGAGACAGAGAGAGTACGTGTGTGTACTGGTATTGAGCTAGTATTTTTTTTTTGAGGGGGCTCTCTCTCTTGCTTAGCTTTTTCTCATAAGGCTGGTGCTCCACCATACTTGAATCACACCTCTATTCCCAGCTTTTTGCTTATTAGTTGGAGATAAAAGTTGCACAAACTTTCTTGTCTGGGTTGAACTTGAACTATGATCCTCAGATCTCAGCCTCCTGAGTAGTTAGAAATGAATATGTGTGTATGTATGTATGTATTAGGCATGAGCCACCAGCATCTAGCCTTAATATACTTCTAAGAGAATGTATTATTTATAACCCAAGCATAAACAGCATTAGAAAAATGGGATTACACACTTGTTTAAAGGAGTGAATAGGACCATACCATTGAAGAACCCCATTCCTTTCTTACTGTCTGAGTCTACTTTGTAAATTATTTGGAAGTGAAGAGTATATGTAAATCTCATTGGCAGATGTGTTGAACTTCTTTTTTTTTGGGGGGGGGCGGTCCTGTCGTGGGGCCTGAACTCTGGACCTGGGTGCTGTCCTTCAGCTCTTCAGCTCAAGGCTAGCATTCTTCTACTTGAGCCACAGCGCCACTTCCGGTTTTTTTTCTTCTGTTTATGTGATGCTGAGGAATCGAACCCGGGGCCTCATGCATGCAAGGCAAGCGCTCTACCACTGAGCCACCTTCCCAGCCCAGATGTGTTGAATTTCAAATGAGAGCATAGTTGGATTTTTAATATCTTATAAAAACAGTAAAAATTTAAACTCTAACTTTTGGCCAGCATTAAGAAATTAAAAATCAACCAATTAAGGTTGAGTCTATTTTAAAAAATACTTTCAAGTTCTAGTGAAAACATAAAACTCTAAAACCTTGGCAAAGGAGTTTACTTAGATAAAAGAAATAAATGAGTAGACTAGACTCTCTTTACTTACTTTTCATCTGCTTCTTTATGGGTTTGGAATGATCCAGCCAGTGCTGAAAGAAAGAAAAATGCTTCTTTAGGAGTATCAGGATAGTAAGAGCCTATGGTTATCTTCTGTCACAAGCCTCGGTAATTCTACCTGCTAAATCCAGGGACTGGATCAGGTCATGAGTTCTTCACTGGGGATCTTCAAACTGCTTGTTCCCATATTAAAAATCCTCGTCTATGTAGATAAGCGCATTTCTGAGATGGGGTCCCCAAAGCACTTAAACTCCCTTACCAAGGCTGTGAAGTCCCTTCAAGTCAAGAGAGCCACTGCCAACCCCTGAGCTCCTCACATGACAGCTGACCGTCCCCAATTAATTCCAAGTCTCCATTAATCTAGCAAAAAGTATAAGCTAGAATGTCCAGACTCTCTCAGCTTACATCAGTTTTTTGTCATTCTGACACACTAACTCTGAAATTATAAAGCAAATTCATGGTCCCTTTATTCTTCTGCCAAGAAAATGACCCACATTTGGATGGAAAGCAGGCAAGGATCTGCCCGACATGATTTTGCTGTGGTCAATGTAGGCATTTCAACTAAGGAGATTATAAAATCATTTCCCTTAAATAAAAGTTTCTTTAGAATGCCAAAGTTCTGAGGAGGCTTGGCAGCCTGACTTCTACAGAAAGCAACATTTAGGAACATCATACAGATGTTCCTGGACTTACCACAAGGCTAAGTCCAGATAAACCTATCATAAATTTACATATGTAAAAATGAAACTAGAAAAATTGAGGGGGTGGGTGGAGCTGGGAGAGATGGAGGAGAAAAATTTTTTTTCATCTATCATAAGTTGAAAACACATGTAACACACCTAACCTTGCCCATCCTTGCTTAGCCATAAGCACATTTGGTAGAGTGCTGGCTATTTACCCTTGTGATTGGGTAGTGACCTAGGTGGGAACTAAGGCTAGTTGCCATAGCCCAGGAGCTGAAGAATCTCTAGATTGTATCGAGTATCACTAGCCCAAAAAGATCAAAACTGAAAATTCAAAGTACAGTTTCTACTGAACATCTATCATTTATAAACCATCATAAAATGAGACCATCACAAGTCAGGGACTGGGTGTACTATGAGCCCCTGTGTGGCCAGAGTCTGTGTCTTTTCTTTACTGTGTGTCCTGTGACAGGCACACAATGTGGTCCTCAGCAGGCCTTTATTAGATTGGGAGATAAATAAATGTTAAGTATGATTTTTTTTAAAGGAGGCAAGATAGAGACATTGCCCATCACAATAAATAAACCCCAATGCATGCTGGAACTTCACCGTTAGAAAAACAGTTGGAATGCCACAGCCTGAGTGGGTTTCTCACCAGCTGTTCCCAACCAGAGGCTGTTCTGCTGATTGCCAGGGATTTTTCAGAAGCAATCTAAACTCTGCACACACTAATAATGAGAAAGGGTGGGGCCAAATGAGCACAGTGTACTCCACACCTAACCACAGAGCCCATGATGATTGTGTGGGAGAGTGGGGGGAGATGAGGAAACAAAAGCAAATAACAGATGAATTATAATACAATAAGCTTGTGGCAGCAGGATGGGACCCTGGGCTTTTGTCATCTCCACTCCAGGCTAGGCCAGTGTAATAAAAGCAGCAGATCGCCACTGCAGGGTGCCTATCTCAAAGGCACATGTGCAGGGTGCTTTACCTCATTGTTAATAGCTTTGATTGAAGATGACCTGAATGCCCATCAACAAAGAGATTTTTAAATGGCTCATCCATATAATGAAATACTATTTTAAACAGATGTAGGCCCATACTTATTGATGTGACAAGAAAGAGCCATAGCCCAATATCAGAGGAGGAGAAAAAGCAGGCAGGATCCCATTAATGGAAAATTATTGTTTTCTATCAAGATATGTTCAGAAAGATTTGTAAGGGTTATTTCTGGATGGTAAGGCTATGTTTACTATCAGCTAAAGAAGGCCATTTCCTTTTTGTTTTTGCTTTTATGTATAAATTTTTCTTTTGTTTTAAACAAGGTCTCATTATTTAGCCCCAGCTGGTCTTGAACTTGAGATCCTCCGGTGTCAGCCTCCCAAGTTCTGGGATTACAGGTTATACATCACTAAGCCCAGCTATTCTGATAACATGTTTATTTTAAGGAAGTTATTATTTGTGAGGGTGAATGAGTTGGGCTGTCACTTTCATATTTATTCATCATTTGCTGTCACGTAGGCTTTGACTGAGTTTGTACCCTAAGAATTAAAAATCACTATTGCCCTCAACCAAGCTGCAAATCCTGTAACCTAGACCTGGGAGAGCTTTACAGATTGGGTGTTAGCATATTTACTCCCATGTCAAATATCATGCTAAAGGCTATGACTAAGTCTGTCCTTAAATTCACCCATGCATAGAAAGTTCTCGCTGCAACCAGCCTCGTAGTCTAAGGAGCTTAAAGAAGCTTATCTCTTTTCTCAAGTCCTTACCATTATTCTGAAGAGATTTGAGTTTAAGTCCACCTTTCCTCACTCTGTACTGTGTCACATTCTCATCTCCAACCACATTCAACTTGTGTAGCTTCCTTGGCCTAGGTTTTCCACCTTGGCTGTGCATCAAAATCCATTAAAGAGTCTGGAAGAATCAGTGCTTCCGGTGTGACTGGCTTCTTATTTAATATAGAGGTCTTTAACATCCTTTTCTACCCAGGAAGAAGCCCTGAAAATCTCCAGTCATCCATAACCCCTCTGAAAATGGGACTACTGAGTTCTATAAAACTTCATGCAACTTCAGGGTTTATGGGCCACAGCAAGAGGTGAAATGGTCAAATGTCTGTGGCTAGGGTTCACACAGGCATATGTTGCCAGATGCTCTGACCAGATGCTCCTACAGGCAGGGCAGCAGACTTGATTTGCCCTGGGGCTACACGACTAATGGAGCTTCCTCATCCTGCCAGGCTGGGCTCCATCTTTTCTGCCTGAAGCAGGACTTGCCAGGATGAAGGCCTATGAAAAGTTGGACTTGCTAATCTGAGCAGGGAATGAGAAATAGCTTCATTATTTTGAAAGTCCCTTGACTCTTGGGGGTTTTCAAATCTGTTTCTATTGGCTACAGCAAAGATCATAAGAAATCCAGTCACAATCCTAACATGAAAGACAATAAAACTGTATCATATATCCAACCACCTCAAAATGCCCTGGACTTTCTCAACAGCTGCAGGAGCTTACTGGGGGTCTGATAACTCATATTTTATCCCACAAGACCCCCCCTGTGACTTGAGTACTGAAGGCACTAAAAGCCCAATGTGACATTTAGTAAGTTGTATTCCCTGAGCAGCTTTGAACACTGCCTTCAGCAGCAGCAGGACCTGTCAGGGATGTTCACCGGTGTCCCTAGCTAAATATAGTCAGGCTGCCTGTCAGTAAAGGCTAAGGTGAATGGCTGTAGTCCTCTCAACAGACCATTAAACCAGTCACTGCAGCCAGACAGATGCATTTCTGAGTTCAAATGGCAAGATATTTCACTCGTACTCTAGTGGGTGTTAGGCAAGGTAGTTTCTGATCTGAATTTGTTATCCAGGTCCACCTGGCAAAACCCTTGCCATAGATCAAGATGTATGAGAAGGCCCTGGAAAAAACCATCTGTCCTGACAGTACGTTAGTTTTGAAAATGACATTCATAGGCTGGCTATAGGATTTAATGGTCTAAAACTCACATGGAAGCACTGGACCACAATGCCCTGGAAACGCTAGAGGTTAAAAAGGGTCTAAAATCATTTGTCTGAACCTACCTGGAGCCCTTGCCATTAAGCCTGAGTGAGGGAATTCATAATGGGGTTTCTAATACCTATAGATTTTCATTTCCATTAGAGCTGGTAGGAAACTGAAGAGATAATTACAATCACTAGATGAAGGGAAAAGGAAAGGAAGGAATATTCTGAGGGGCAGGAAGGGTTTGGAGGGATGGGGGAGAATGATGGAAGGGGTAATATCAATCAAGATGCACTATACTTACAAACTGGCCTGTTACTGAATGGTAACCACTTTGTATAGCTACTTAAAATTATATATATTTGTTTGGTCATGGGACCTGAACTCTGGGCCTGAGCACTGTCCCTCAGCTCTTCAACTCAAGGCTAGTGCTCTACCACTTGAGCCACAGCACCACTTTGGCTTTTTCTGCTTATGTGGTGCTGAGGAATCGAACCCAGAGCCTCATGCATGCAAGGCAAGCGCTCTACCACTGAGCCACCTTCCCAGCACTTAAATATAAATTTTTAAAAAAGAGGGTCAGCAGTATTCAAACTCCATGGGTATCAGGATCTGTCAGTCAAGGTTTCTACACCTTAAATAGGTTTGAAACACCATCTCCACTGGCTGGAAAGGTTCCTCCTCATAGCAACTATCTGAGGTATCCTTGTGGATTTGTTTAAATCAACTACAGAACCCCCTTTATTAACTTTCCATTTAGCACATGAGCAGGAAAACATTCATTGGCCTCCTGCTGCCAGCATTCAAAGATGTGCTGCGGGAGACCTGGGCTACTTCCTGAGCCCAAGTGATAACCCTCTGTTCTACTACTGAAGGAAGTAGAGGATCAGAGTTCAAGTCCCAGTTCTGCTACTCATCAGTGTCTGGCCATGAGCACAGCCCCTATTCCTGAGTCTCCTAATACATTGTCTGAAGGTTCAACTGAAATCCAGAGAAACTACAGAACCACTCAACAGATGGATAAACAGAAGAGGCTTTGTCTGATTCTCTTCAGCTGAAACACAAATGCCAAATCTAGCATTTACATTCTACTCCCCCTCTACCTGTATTGAGAGGTTATTTTACCCCACGGCACCAAGGATTGAACCCAGGGCCTTGCATATGCTAGATAAGCACTCTACCTGAACTACATCCCCTATATCCCTTTTCTTCTTACAACTACATGTGAAATAGCCAGGCACTGCTCAGGTAGTAAATGTGACCTTCCAAGTTATCAGTAGTATGAACCCAAGGAGCACAGAGGCTCTTCAGCATCCACAGAGCCCTGCCTTTAGCCACCACATCTGGGTGTTAACC